ACGGTGTTGCCATTTTTGCTAAAAATAGAGATTTCTGGGAAGTACTTTCAAAACGCTACTCCTTCTACAGTTTTGGTCTGATTTCAATCTAACTTAGCACACAAGTAGACTACACTAAGATACAAAATTGTCTTTATTGTTTTTTGATTTTGTTGAATGATGCTGCAATGGTAACTAAAATCGAAATTTCTGTAAAATTCTTTTAAAAGGCTACTCCTCCTACAGTTTTAGTCTGATTGCAATAAATCTTGCCGCAGAAAGAGACTACACCAAGAATCATTATTCTATGTATTGCTGTTGCAAAGTTTCAAGTCCAAGTGCTACTTTTATCTTCCATTGTTATAAGTACAAACCAGTAGAGCTACAGTCTCATCAGAGACTTCTGGTTTCTCAGCTTTGAGAGTCCGAAAATGGGCAATTACGTCAGGATGGTCGGTGACACTATTCAGTTAATAGATTTAATGTAAATGTTTAGAGAATTGAAAGTCTTTGTTTTTGTCCAATTGAAAGATATATGTGATAAAGAAATACAAGTGTGTGTTTTTTCCCTAGTCAAATTTATAATGATCCAGAAAAATGCACTTTTCAATTGAAATCTCCATATTATGAGAGATAGACAAGTACATGTAAATTAAAATGCAGTTTTGCGACGTTTAAGCTCCAGCTATGTATATGAAAAAGGGAAACTACATGTGTATGATGACAATAATGTAATTAAGGTATGAATAGAAATTAAATATATCGCCAATTCGTCGAAACGGTGCCAAACATAGTCGTTAGATGTCTTTGAACAAAAAATATTCATTAATTACCAGTATTTCATTTTTTTTTCTTACAAATCAAAAAATATGTAATGCTTGTATTTCGACACATGCGTCGAAATTGGTGATAATGAGCTACTAGTATGTCCTTATAATACTTTCTCAAGGAAATCAATAATTTCGACACCTGCAACTACATGTTTAATTTTTTTTCATCTTTTTTTTTATCTTGTATTACGCAAGCATGTTTATAAACAAAAAATGTCTACAAAGAAGTAATATGACCCCTATTGTTACCCGAGGAAACTTGCCGAAAAACCAAACACTGTTTTAAATTAATTTTTTATATACTAGTACTCGAAATTATTTCTGTAAAAATATGTTATATGCTCATCAGCTTAGTTCTCTTTTTCGTTTTATATAAGGCGGGAATTAGATGTGCCAAACTGTATTTTAAATAACTGATTTTATTTCCCTTTCACCAAATGAGATCTGGGGTATTAATTGTTGCAATTGTCAAAAACATCATACTTTTGGATAAAAAGAAAATGTGCACATTTGTGAGCCAAGTATTATCATATTTGTAAAGTTATGGAATATATTTTAACAAAGGAAGGTTATGACTATAATAAGACGAGGGTTCAAAAATCAATAATTACGAGAGAGCCTGTGTATCTGCTGTTCCTATTTTTCAAAAAATATTTCCTTGCAAAAGGAGCAATTAAAATTCCTTTTTTAAAAGGAAAGGATCAAAAGGTTTATACTTAGACATATATATTTATTCATAACTTTTTTCAGTCATTAGGTACATGTACGTGTACCTTACAGCTGAAAGTCGTCTTTATGGATAATTCGAAAACCTCCAGACATTAATTTTGTTACGAGTGGTATTTTCATAAAAACATGTTTTTGTCTGGCGCATAAATGACAAAGAATTCTTGGGGGGAGGGAGAGAGAGAGAGAGAGAGAAGGGGGATTAGACGGGCCAGATGACCATGCCCGTTTTGCATGTATGCATGTAGGTATATCGGAAATATCTCCGAATTTACACAGGCATTTAAGTGTGTACAGTACTTTTCAAAACGATGATATCAATTAATAAATATAATACCAAAATTTGCAAGTGTAAAAAGAAACATCTTTCCCTTGCATTTCATTATTCGTCCTAAAAAAAAAAAAATGGAGCGATGACCTCCTGTATTAAAAAATGTACTGATAGGATCCAATATGTGTCGGTTTTTGTGAAAATTGAGCTTGTTGCAATTTTGTTGGGTTAATCATAATCGATTTCGAAGTTACTGTATTCACTAATTATCAATTTTGTACGCAATTGGTAATAAACATAATCTAAATTTAAGAAAAAAGTGGAATTTGTGAGAAATAAGTTTATAGATTTTTTATCCGTCGTTTTGCGGGCATATGGCTCGGCTTTTCCCCCAGTTTCTTAGATATAAGAAATATACGAAGCACGTACAGTATTATATTTCAGCGTATGCAATTGTTTTGTCAGAGGAACGATATATAATGTTTAATATAAAAATTCTGCAAGGTTACACTCAGCTATATGATAAAAAAAAGTTGTTTGGAAACCATTTTCAGTAAACACAGTAAACATGCTCAGCGTAGCTTCTGTATGGTACACATAAAGTGGCCTTTATTTATGTTTTCATATTCGACCGAGGACCAATCCAGGATCGATCATCTCGCCATTTGTGAGATTTTGTTGTGTCACCTAATATTTTAAGTGACTGTCCACTTGCAGTAGACGGGATCTTTTCAAGCAAGGATATGAAAGGGTCTGGGAAAGACGATTTGGATTCCTTCATCTTCTCTTCCCACTCCTGTTGCAGTGTTAAGAGAAGATTTTTTAGGAACATCGATTCTTTGAATTCATTTTCCCACTCTTGTTTTAGTGTTGACCGTAAATTTTCAATATTTGAAAAATGTGTTTCATATTCGTCTTTGAGAAGTTCCCACACGCCCTTCCACTCCTCTTTATGCACGTCTTGGTCAATAACAGCCCAGGTATTCGGGTACTTCACGAGTCCAAGTTTCCACTGTGAAATGGAATCAACTTCTGCTGGCCCACCGCGTTTAACAATTTTCTTTTCTACTTTGTAGTCTACATCTTCCTGAAATTTGCCTCTACTTTTGTCATTACCTTTCTCAGCATCAAGACGAGCTCCAAAACACCAGCTGGCCATTCCGGATCCTCCTGCATGAAGTGCCTCTTTACAAAGCTTAATTGAGTCTCCCTTGGTCATAGTAGATTCGCTTCGACAGACGACAGACCTCGTGTAGCATCCACCAAAGTGATAGGTTCCCGCGAAATAATGAGAACCAAAGTTTTCAAAAAACTCCCTGCAGAGATTAGAGTTATTTTCTCCGGAGAGCTTTTCCTCCAGCCTTTTTAGTTCTTCTAGAGCATTGCACGAGATAAAATGAGGCACGTTCTCTAGACAAAATGAAGCAATGGGAACATAAACGGTTTCTTTGATTTCAGTATACCCTTTGTGGGATTCACCTCTTCTGGTTTCATCATCAGTTTTCTTTATGGAGTAACTAACGTCTCCAGTAAAGGTTCCGATTAATCCGCCAGAAGCAGCTGCACTCAATCCCCAGTGATGCACAACGTGATCATAGAATGCGGATTTCTCTTCGTTGAAAAACTCTTCATACGTAAATGTCTCCGCAATTCTAGGGGCCAAAATCTCTACATTGTCAGGGATGGTGATCAGTTGTTTCCGTTGCACAACACGCTTCCAGGCATTTTCATGGATATAATATCCCCCTAATATCCGACCAGAAGATATTTTGTTCACTATTTCAGAAGATGACAATTTTTCGCGAACAGCAATCTCGTTTATTAAAAACTCCGTTTTCGTCAGTTCTTTGTGCAGGTCTCTCTGTCCTGGAGGAGTTTCTAAATTGATCTTCATCCTAGCCACCCTGTCCTCTTCTTCGGTGATTTTTTCAATTTTATTTAGTAATTCCTTGACGTGATTATCAGTTTTCTCCATCTCTTTCTGCCTTTCTTCTCTGCTTGTTTCAAATACTGCTGGAAAACAGGATATTAAGGCATTTTCTTCCCACCGGTACCTTTTCATGTGATTTAGCTGATTAAAATCTTTTCTACTAGCATGTTTTAGTTGTTTTCCATTTGTAATGCCAACGTCTTTGAACCTTTTCATCCAGAAGTCTTGGTCCAGACCATTGTCAGCCAAAATCTCACTCAAATCATACTCTTCCATAGTCTCTTTCTTCATCACTTTTTCTTCAGACATATTATAAACACTAACTTTTAAGAGTTCTTTTCATCAGATTACTAGAATATTGCACTCTGTGAAATTATTTAATAATCATACATTTATTCCACTACTATAGCTAGCTAGGTGTTGCTGTAAGTTTACGTAGAAACACTTTGTATTCAATATTTCTGGCAAAGAACACAGATCAAGTGCACGTACTTTTTCAACTCTATCGACCTTGGAATGTTATAAATGATCGAAGGATGAAACGTTTATTTCTTGACCAAATGTGCAGTTACTGAAGTAAAAAAAGAGCTACGTACTGTCATTTTCACCAAATCATCTTCACATTCAGCTCTCGATAGAAAATTTTTGAACTGGGTTAATATCTGAACCAGAGAAGAACAGTGGTACCTTAAGTAAATAGGGTTAGAATCCATATACAATCATAATAATTCTTTTCATCAGGAATTTCCAACGAGATTTGTAAAAACGTCACATGCTTTATAATGTACTTAAAACATCGCAAATGTTTATGTTTTTCAAAATGCATTCACTTTCCGGATACAGATTTTAAGTGCAAGAAAAAGCACTTGTCCCTCCTTTTTAAAATAATTGTTAATTGTGAGTCACCACCAGTCACTTTGATAATACTTTCGGAAATGCAACTTTACTCGTTTGGATCTTTTGTTCATATTAATAATTCATCATGAAATTCGTTTATTTGCAGGTTTGAGACAGAAAACCATTGTTAGATTATTAATAGTTTTCGTTGTCCTTTTTTTTTTTTTTTTATATAAATGCCACATTATGAAGCTAGGCATTTTCGTCTGAATGATCCATAGACATGAATTGGTTTACATCATCACGACTCCGCTAACTATCTCCAACGTAATGATTTTACATTCCGATGTAATGTGCAAAAAGTGAAGGAAAAAAAACTGTTTCCTTTGGCTATACTGCAGCAAACTAATATTTTATTCAACCCATACTGGTTAAAAATCAATTATAAGTTTTTGTCGATAAAGGCCTGAATTGTCTCTGTTGCTTCTGAGTTCAGGGAGCAAATGTAACAGTCACCCTCGCCGTAGATAATATTAGTAAAGTCTTGGAAGCAGTCATCAGGATTATGTTTTAGCACTGGCCCAGGAGAGGTTCCCTGTCTGCAGTTGTGGATCACAACAAGCATACAATTACAACCTAAAGAAACAAAACATGCGCTTTGTTCAAGGATAAAGGCTTTAAAATACAACGAATGCTATTTATCAATGTCTGATTATTATACGTATGTAGTATGTGTATGTAGTTATGTGGTCGTCTTACGTTTTGGTGTTATCTTCACAATAGCTGAAATGTCATCCATTAGACGAGACAGTGTGAAGCAGAGGATGAGGCAGGTGGACCCTTCCTCTACAGGGTCTTCTCCTGTCACCCAAATAGGCTCGATCCCTACAAGGTACTTCTCCATGAAAGCTGAAAACGCTTTTCTTGACAAAGGTGCCGAGAATCTAATGTAAATGCTTTTTTTGTTAGAACGAGCCCATGTTGATTGAAATGTAAGACCAGCCGATTCATTTTCATTCTTAATTGAAACTCTTTCCTCTCGGATATCATCGGATTGTTTTCGTCCTTCACTGTTGCAGTTTGTAATGCCTAAATAGAAAGGTACAAGTAGTCTCAACACATTTAAACCTACACTTACATCTCATATTTGGAAGGAACAAAATTACTTTTGAGGAAAACAGCAATAATGAAAGTCTTATATGATAAAATTAAAGTCATTCAAGCAATAAATAATAATTTATTTTTTTTTAAATGTAAAATACCCGAAATACGATATTTTTAAAGAGTTCAGTGATGTTCTTAAAGATCGAAGCATCAGGAATTATCAAAATAGATGTTGTTCTCAAGCTATTCTTCTCTAAAATGTTTGTTCAGAATTGTTAGTCTGAATATTTTATGAAAAAATGACATTGTATAAAAATAATAATTGTTGTAAAAATTACTACTTTAGTATGCTTAAATGCAAACCACTAGACACACATAATCAAGGTTACAATATTTTGATTTGAAACTCTATCGTAAACTTTCTTACCAAAAGTATTTTTGTCGCTTCTACTATAATCTGAAACAGGAAAAAATGAGTATTTTATTGTATTATTATAAGTTTGACATACATGTATAAATAAGTATGTAACACACATGTAAATAAGAAAAATTGTTCATACCCCCTGAAAAAAGGCCACTGATCATCCAACATGCTCTGTATGTGCTGTCTGGAAAACTGACAACTGTAATGTATTTAATCCTCGAATCTTCGTAACATGGAACGAATTCAAACTCTGCATTATCTCCGATCATGATAACCATGCCTAAAATGGTTAGACTTAAAATATTAAAAATTGCAATGAGTATGGCAAATATTTAATACACTGAGCATCATACATTAGAAATTTAAGATACGAAGTAGTTGAAAGCATATACTGTTCAGTGTTCACCCGTGCCAAAATCATATATTTTTAGTACTACAGTCCCTGAAAGGTTCTACTTTCCCACTTGAACGGTGAGCGCACGGTGAGCGAACGCTGATCGAACGGTGAGGAAATAGAAAAATGGAAAAGTAGAACGTTTCAGGGACTGTGGTGCACTGTAATTTTGCAAAAGGTGAGAGAAACAAAATGCTAGAAAGGATTAATCATGGATATTGATGGGAAGATAGCAATTTTTTTTTAAATTTATTGTTTTTGTTATTTGACTCACAACATCCTTATTTCAGATCATGAGGTAACCATCTTTTTATTCTTTGTATAAATCATAAGAAAAATGCGGAAGGTTATTCATTTAAAGTGATATACCCTAACTGCTAGTATTTCGGATTTCTTTTTTACACAGAGAATATTTACCGTCTTTTTCTGCTTTTGGTAACTGGACATTTCGTATTGACTCTACAACGTCAACATTTCCCTGCTCTGGAAAACACACAACCTTACAAAATACGATCCATATATTATCTACAGCATCTTGAGCGTTCATACAGTGCACTTTTAATTTGAGATCACGTCCTCTGTTTTCCAATTTCATATTTTCCAGCATCGAAATTGCGCTGTGCTTCCATTTCTGTGCGTCTTTTGAGAAAACGACATCCACATCTATACTCTCTTCATACAAAATAAGAAGAAAAACGTCATTATTTTGTTTTACTTATTATAATATCGGAAAAAATCATTATCTTAATGATTTTTTTTTTTGCTATCTACCATATGATCATATTTTCTTGTCGCAAATTATGTACAATATATGAATGAAAATAACGAAAAGTGATCGATCTCAAAAAGTCCACAAAAATACAAATCTGTGAACAAGGCATAAAGCACAGCCCTCTGAAAATTTCCCTGAAAGGTTGTTCAGGACTGGTGCCTAGTGAAGTAAGTAAGCATCCCCTATTGACAGGTACTACCCGCCGTGAGCCCTATGTATTGATCAAGTAGACAGAACATTCCGTAGTCAAATTGAGTATATATTTCAGCAATTATTTTTCTTAAAGGACAGATTTTGCAGAGAGGGATATCCAATTAGATATAGTTATTTACTATACAAATTTAATATCTGAGAATCCATTGGAGGGGGGGGGGTCCGGATCCCCCTTCCCAAGCTTCCGCTGGGCGCTGTGTTTCAGCACTAGGAGCACTTAGTCAAATGATTATCTTCTGTATAATTCTCCAGTACCGCACTTAATTCATTTAGATCAGGGCCAGCAAGATGAAAGACTGGTAAATTACTTGTACATAGAATTCATCGAACATAAATCATAGGTATACTTGATGAAAGTTAAACTCAACCCCCCCCCCCCACACACACACACACACACACACCACGCACAAGTGTCTGTGACACTTACATGTGAAAATAATTTATATTTTCATCTGCTCAAACACAATTCCATAAACATATAGACTATTTTATTTCAGGGAAAAAAAAATCGAAAATTATTTTATCTAAGAACTATTATATATCTTACCATAGCCCCAAGGCCGAGATAAAATACTGCCCATATTTAAAGTGGTGCAGAATACTCGGTTTAGGCAATCTAAAATTTAAAAAAAAAATGCATAATTATGAAGTATAATGAGCAGTTAACATTCGCTAAAACTGAAATTCATGATCTTTGTGTTTCAGATTAAGGTCCGAGAGTGAGACTAAGTTGGCCGAAGAACGTCTTCGTTAATCACTGACATCCTTTTAGCAAACTATTTAACTGATTATAATGAGTACTTATAGCTTTATTTTAAAAATTGTGAAATCATCTAGGTCCAGAGTCTATGTTCTAGGGTGGGATAAATGTTAAAATATTAAAGAAAATCACTACACTTTTGAATTATCTTTATTATTGGCAAGAAGAGAAACTGTAAGATTATAATAAGCAGAAATGTTAAAAGAATGGTCCGTAATTCCAAAGATTCAGATTTGCGTGTGAATCGGTAATATATTAAAAGTTTATTTTACGTGTTAAAATATATGTAGCGAGCAACAGGTATCTATATGATTTCGATATAATATGAATCCTTCAACAAATTGAAATTTCGTCCCTAAGGTGAGGGCAATTTCATATATTGAAAATGCATTGAATCATTTGAAATATTTTTTCCAGTTAGTTTATATAAGATTTGGAATGCAAAATTGGAGAAAAGTCCTCTTCACATTTTGTTTGATTGTTTGTTTATTTATTGTTTAAGGTCCCTCTCGAGAATTTTTCACTTATATGGAGACGCCACCACTTGCCGGTGGAGGGCTGCAAATTTATACCTATACTCGGCACTCATGGCCATTGAGCAGTGAGGGATCTTTTTCTTGCCAACACCTACTTCACACGGGACCTCAGTTTAAACGGTCTAATCCCGAAGTGGATTCGAACCTGCGACGTTAGGACGTAAGCTCCTTACTTTACGACTCTAATCACTGCGCCACGCGGGCGGCTCTTCATATTTAGTAAAATGTATGTGACATATATATCTAGATCACCAGCTCCATCTAGTCCTCCTAACTCAGTTGGTCATTATAGTCCGAGAAACCCATATTTCTAAATCAAAATTCAAGGCAAAGCACTGTATAGAAAAGTGTCATTCTGCTGAGCAAAAACATTCAAGGTTTTTCACTATGATGTCTAGACAGGAAATTGTATATAAAATAATAAAAAAAACTTCTCAGGCACTTGAACGGACAATGAAGTGTAAGTGCACATAACATAACATGCACATGACTGCATTTTCTAAAAATTACATATATGAATCCTTGATAGATACTTCGTTAGAGAGAGAGGAACATCACATTTCACTTAGATGGGTCTTTATAATCATGCTAATTTCATTTCTGAAAAATAAAACACTGAATAATATTAGGGAATAGCTAAACATTATTTGTCATCTTTCCGTTTTTGGATGAAACTTAAGATATCACTACATGTTTTTTTTTTCATATTCAGTTCGTTGTCGGGAACTTTACATTGTATATGTACAATGTAGTCAATAATTACATGTGTACAGTCAATTTTGATGTAATGAATCAAACATATTTCTTCCTTTGTTATTAATGTAACATCAAATGTCTCAGATAGATGCATTACAATTAATATTATAGTTAATAATTAGCAGTAAATATAAACAGTACTATTGTAAATATAGTATTAAGGTCAAATTGAAAGTGACTGGCCACTAATGGCTCGGAACTAGATATGAAAGAGAGGGTGTGTCCCACTTTTGAAGGTAACTTACGATAATCAACACTGAGGATGTTATTGTCTACCTCTACTAATTTTAAGTAGTGCAATGAGATTTTAGGAGAAAATCACGTGAATATTTAAATATCTCTTTTTCTGATTGCAAATAAAATACTCATTATTTCTTCTTTTTATGATTAACTTTATCAATTTTTCAAATATGAATTTTTTAAAATACTCACCTACTAAAACACTTGTTCAAATATTCAGAAATGCACATCATGCTGGTATTTCCAACATCTTATAGCGCATGCATATTATGTTTATGTTTTTAGACTATCGTGTCACACCAGCAACTACCATAAGAGAATACAAGGACACGGGAAGGGTAAACATAATACTTAAACCTTTCACCATTTTATTTAGTTGTTTTCTTATAAGGTAGGTTTCTTTTTCTTTTTTACTTAGATCCGCCACATTTTCTGTGAAATATTTCAGCTTCATTGAGAGAAAAATGGGAAATGGAGAAAGTCAAGGTTTGTTGCTGGTTATAATTTCTAGTATATATATATATATATATATATATATATATATATATATATATATATATATATATATATATATATATATATATATATATATATATATATATATATATATATATATATATATATAAACATATATAAGATGAAGTTACATTGATATCGCTATAAAAATATGAAAATTGTCATCTATCAAAATTGTCTGTTTCAGCTCTTGAGGAGGTTAAGGGTAATGTATACAATTTATGCATAAGGATTTTTTTTTTAAACAGAGGGTCTTTGAAGATTAGAGGCACGATTGTTAACTCGTAAGATCCCCGTTTTTCTTCGGACAGATAAGTGGGTGCAAACCCCCAAATTTGATGCATTGTTTAAATATATTTTTTGACGATATGTTTATAGGACCAAAAGGAAGAGGGAGTCCTAAACGAAGTAATTAAATCTCATGTAACCTGGACAATGAAGGCTCCTTGCCTCAGGATAAATCAACTAGGATTTACTTTACTTTCTACAACTGTTCAATCGTCCGCGTGGCGCATTGGTTAGAGCGTTTGCTCTAAATTCGCGGCGAAAGGAGTTGCTCCTTATGCCGCGGGTTCGAATCGAGACCGGTCATTCGGATGAAACCGTATAAATCGAGGCCCCGAGCTGGCATGAAAAAAGTTCTCTCACTGCTCAAAGGTCGTAAGTGCCGAGTACAGGTCTAAATTTGCAGCCCTCCACCGGCAAGTGGTGGCGTCTCAATATGAGTGAACAATTCTCAAGGGGCGTCAAACAACCAAACAAATACAACTGTTATTGAGCAAAACCCCTCTCAAAATTGAGAAATGTAGCATGCTTCTTTGGTGTAGATTCGGGGAATAGGCTAAGAACATTTTCGAACATGCATCAAATTTTCTTTCATTTTATTTTTTAAAAGCCTCTTGGAATATTTAGCATAAGAAATATGCCCATTTATAATAAACATCGATCCCTGTTCCCAATGCTTTATTAATTTTTCACCTGTTTTATGTTAGGATGGTGAAAAAGTTGACCATGTACCGAAAATGCACTGAATATTCTAATAGTTTTTATGCGCCCGGATCGATAGATCGGGGGCGCATATTGTTTTTGTCCTATCTGTCTGTTTGTCTTAACTTGTCATAACTTTTGAACCATAGGAGATAGAGACTTCATATCTGGTATGCATACTCCACTAATTAAGTTCTTTCAAATGACACCAAGGTCAATGACCTTGTGACCTTGACTGTGACCTATACGCTAAAAATAGCTTTTTCGAACTTTGTTGCCGCCGGGTGCATAGTGTTTCACAAACACATCTTGTTCTTTTCATTTTTTTCTTTGTATGTTGGCGGCCGGGGCAATAATTTCTATAGTCATAAAAAACAATGTACCTCTTTTGGTGTTTTGAACATTGGATTTCATAGGTCGCTCAGCATTGTTAGTGTAGGCTAAGATGAAGCTTTTTTTAAATCTTTGAAAGTTTGAGTTCTCCTTGAATCCAGAAGACAAACAGCAAAAACATTTATTCATGAACAATGAGCCTTTATCTGCGAATTTTGGAAAATACGTGTATCGTCGAGGCATTGTATAAGCACTACTGCGTCTGGTAATGTTGTCCACGAAATGAAAATGCAAAACATCATCTTTGTCGATATTTTTCTAAACTCTAATTTTTTGATTCATTACTTGACACAACTGCATTTCATTTTTTTTTTTCTTTTTTCTTTTTTTTTTTTTTGGTGTACCTTGAGCAAGAAGTTGGGATCTAATGATCAGCGGCTTACAAGTACAAAAATGTGATAAAAAAATCTTTCAAATTACCTTTTAAGTTGTACATCAATTTTGATTGACAATTCCCTTCAAATCTTCAAAATTATTATTTCTTTCTGAACTTCTAGCATATAGAAAGTCAAAAAAGATTGTGAAACTGAGATATTTTGCATGAAAATTGAGTTACTGCTTGTCCTTTATGAATATTGTTTTGGGAAAAAACTGCATAAGTGATTTTGTGTTTATCAGATAGAACACGGCAGCGTGAAAGAGAAATAAGAAGACTGGAAGGTAACGACTTCGCATAAAATTTACAATTACAATTTGTTAAACGAAGACTTTAATACAATGAAAGTTAAAAAATACGCCATATTTTAATTTTTTAATACTTGGTTATTGAACACAAAGTCATAATCGATTTAGATATTAGGGAAGGATATTGCATTCTGGTACGATGTCATTTCTTTTTAGACAAACTGACAAAGCAGATCGAGGGAGGTAAATACTTAAACTTTATTGAACGATCTTTTTGGATTGCAAGAACGTACGTTTAAAAAGCAAAATACACGTAACTACATGACATCTATTTAAGTGATACTAGAACTGTAAAAAATATAAAGATGTATGATTGTCGAGCTTAAAAAGTAACAATTATTTCATGTAAATCAGACAACTTACAATGTGTTTTAAATGCTGTTTTACAGTCAAAAGTAAGACAGAACATTATGGATTTGAATTTAAATTGCTATTACATTTAAAAAATTTAAGACTGAAAAAAAAGTTTTTGTAAAATACATATAAACGGCAGCAACGTTCATTTAGTACAGCGAAGAAATTTATGCTTTCAGCTGTATTTGTCTGCAAGATTTATTCAAATAAGAGACTGAAAATCATTTATGAGGCATGGACATTCTTGTATTGTCGTTTTCTTTTAATTTAAATTTCTCTATTGCAAAAATTATTCCGGTTCAATGATTTGAACTTACATGAAAGTTCTTAATATTCAATCACCTACAAATGTATTCTTTATAATTTGACATCAAAGACTTGTAAACATGGGTGCGAGCTTCTGTTTTTGTTAAGTTTTGATTTGCTGTCACGTACTGCACACATCACTGCAACACTGTTATGCTGGTTTTGCATTTTTTTCTATTCTGAATTTTCTTGATAATAGTATGCTTTATCCGAACACCACACATTTCTCGCTTTTCTTAAATATTAAGGATAAGTTTTAGTTCTTGAAAGTGCGTGAATGTATGTCAATCAAACACGCCCGAAATTCATGTTTTTTTATGATTTTCAGATGAAGTGTTTCAGCACACTTTATAATATTGTATACTGGATTCCTAAACTACATAGAAATCCTTATAAACAAAGATACATAGCGGTTTCCAGTAAAAGTTCTACCAAGATTCTTTCTTTACCCTTACTAAAATATTAACAGTGAAGGAGAAATTTTAGGAGTAATGAACAACATATTCGAGAAGTAGTGTTATCAGCTGTGGATACTTAAAAAATCCAAGGAACTCTTAGAAATCAATAACATTAAAACGTATGACTTTTCTAAATGTTATACAACTATTCCCATCGATAAATAAAAGTCCATGGAGGCTTTTGGATATCATAGACAGCTGCTTTTTCAGTAAAAATTGAATTCGTAAATTCATCTACCTTGTCATTGGTCATTTGCAAAATTATTTTGCTTCAAAAATTCTGATTGTACACACAAGTACTCCGAAGTTGATATTAAAAAGATGCTTGAGTTTCTGATTGACAATATTTATGTTGTTTTGGATATCAGGTCGTCCAACAATCTGTTGGAATTTCCATGGGTACTAATTGCGCCCCGTTATTGGCAGACCTATTTTTGTATTCATACAAAATTGTATTCATATGAAATAAAATTTATTCAAAAACTTCTACATGAAAAGAAGTCTCTTGCTGTGGCCTTCAATTCGACATTTAGATATATCGATATTTTTGTCAATTAACAATATTCATTTTCATTCCTACGTAGATTCGATATATCCCTTTGAATTCGAAATAAAAGACACCACAGAGTCTTACACATCTGTTTCATATTTGGATATTTTATTAAAAAAAGACGTTAATGGCAACTTTAAAAAAACTTAACGATAAATGTGATGACATCAACTTTTCTATAACTAAGTTCTTTAACTAAGTTTTCAACTTCTCTTATTTATGTAGCAATATACTATTATCTCCTGCATATGGAGTTTATGTCTCCCAGTTGATTCGATACGCAAGAGCATGATCTACATACAAATAATTTCTAAAACGAGGCAAGCTATTGACAAATAAATTGATGATACAAGGATATCAACAGTCCCGTTTAAAGACATTTCGCAAATTTTATAGTTGTTGCAATGACCTTGTTAGCAAATACAATCTATCGTTAAGTCAAATGTTGACTGACGTTAACCGACTAACAAATTGTTAGGCCATTATTTTTACACTAAATTGACTACGGATTTTTCCGTTTGCCGATTCATGACAAGTAGCACACGGCGGGTGTGACCGGTCGACAGAAGATGCTTTCTACTCCATTGCACCTGATACCACCTCCGATGTTTTTAGAGGTCTTTGTTTGCTCTGCTCCCAATCTGTATCGTTCCAATGGACTTTTGAGTTTGATTACTGTTCGTTATTCGTTATTTTCATTTTTCATTGGTCTGAAACGCTCTCACAACATGTAAAGCATGGAATTTTATTGAAACATTTTTGATGGATAATATAAACTTCAAAGCTGTGTCCATGCCCCTTTAAAGGTAATGCCCAGTACATATTCACAGAATCAAGAACAATATAGATATGGTTTTATAGGACGTTTGGTGTCTTAAAAATGGCTTTCTTGAGGGAGAACAATAATATAATGTACGGCCACGAAAAGTTGAGCATATGCCCTATAATGATTGATGAATTTTATGCTAAAAAAAACAATAACAAAGTTCATAAATTTATTGATTATGTATGTAATTTTCATACCGTTATCATTACTATTCCAGCATTATTAGATAATGAAAACAGATAATTATTAGATAATTATAACAGATAATTATTGAGATTTATTTTTAATCTGATTTTACATAATCCAAAGAAAAAGAACATGAAGGTAGGATTATTTATAATTATAATTTATAATTATAATTTTATAACTTTATAATTATTTTGTTCATTTTGCATGAATGATGCGGCAATTTCTTACTAAAACAATGGGACCATAGAACATTAAAGACAGAAAATATATTAATTGACAGTTATCAATTGCCGAGTTAATTATGACTAGTTTTAGTAGTTGGGGGGGGGGGGGGTCTCGAAATAAAGATTCTGTTGATGTTATTCTCCTAGCTAGCAATAGCTTTACTAAATGCATTCAGTTTCTTTGTATGGTACAATGTAGCAGTTCGAGTTATGTTAATTTTGAAAATGGAAGTCCAATTTTTTTTTAAAGTTTTTAAAAAATTTCTGTAGGGTAATCACATGAGGTGAAACATAGTATGCCTTTCTATTTTTGTAACTTGTTCTTATGGAAATTATTACTGACTTTAACTTACTTACTAATATATGATTTTTACTTTCATAATGTTTAAAACTTTTATTTATGCATTTATTTTATTTTATTTTTAAGCCCTAGAGCATGAAAGAAGTAAGTGATTTGAATATAAAACAGATATCATAATGAATATTAATATATCAAAAATTAATTAACATATATTTGTAAAAAATCCGGTTTCAACAAACAAAGATTTAATGAACATAATCACATATAGAAGGAATTGCAATATAAGTGTAATCTAATGTTTACAAATAATGTGCTTAAAATATTGTTAGGAGCAACATATATATATATATATATATATATATATATATATATATATATATATATATATATATATCAACTCTTTACCAATTTTTACAGATCTCTGGATTCAAAAGCGGGCGGAGGAATACATAGGTAAGCTATACCATGGTATATTTTATTGCACCGTGCTTTTATTTCCGATTTGCGGATTAAGAATGTGTATCTGTGATTGAACACGTAATTCAGCACATAGAAATTAATTATTAAGTACTTTCACAGCCCAGCATATTGAAGAACGGGAGAGGAAAAGTAAGCATATATATAATAATGTATATTTCCGATATCGTATTTGAAAAAGTGTGAATTTCAAAATAATACTGTGAAATGACAATTATGTATATTACATTGAATTATGAACTTTATATAACGTTTGGTGCTTATAATCAAATATTAACGTGTTTGTTTTATTTGTTTTAGAAGCTGAAGAAAACATGCAAAAATATTTAGGTACCCTTTTAAAGGATCAATTTTTCAAAATCCATGGCAATTTTTTGGTAAGATTTCCCCCTTTCAGATAAAACTCTTGCTGTTTTAGAGCCACTCAAGAAGCCGTGGCGAATGATCTCAGCCGAAGTTGATGATCCATGGACTTCACAGGTTCGGGTAAAAACTGAAATATACAAAAAGTTATATCTTTAATACGGCGTGCTGCTCTGCATTGTTAATGTTATATATTTCATCATATATTATTAAGTTCAAAGAACAACTTATGGAGAAAATCGTAAACCTGGAGCCAGCTGCTGGGATCAACTATTTTAATATTTTGCTTCTTGGACAAGCTGCATCCGGAAAGTCCTCTTTTCTTAATACATGCGCTACTGCAATAGAGGACAATAATAGACTGATAACCCTCAGTCAAGTTTATCAGAAGGCTTCCAAGAGTGTGACTACGTCAGTAAGCAGCCATTTTGTCAGCAATCATAAAGATATGCAACTTTCGGTACACTCTGTCATAGCTGTTGTTTGTTATATTTGTACAGTTGATAACTTTGTATCTCTATATGATAAAATTTACTTAGTTTTATAGTCAAATATTCTCTATATAATCTTGATCAATACAAAATCTAATACTGGTATTTTCTTGTGATACTGTAGCTTGAAGTTTTCCCGCTTCATACCAGGGATGGACAGACTCTTCCACTCCGGCTGTTTGATTGCAGAGGACTTAATGTAGAACACGGCGTACCCACAGAAGACGTCATACTGATCGTCAAGGGACACGTACGGAACGGATATGAGGTACACATGTATATAAATATGGTTACAAATGCACATATACTGAGTACATGTAATTTATTTTTCAACTTTATTATTTATTTTATGTTATATATATTTATTTTCGCACAAACACATTGAGGTCTGATTTTGCATCATTTCAAATTCACTTGAAGCCGTTTTACAGCTTAAAAGCACATATGTTCTTTCTTGGTTTTATCCAATTTTGGTCTAGGCCGCTCAATTGGACTTGGAGGACAAAATGAGTGAAAATGAATTGGTGATGAGATTTCTCAATATTCATTCAGGAAAATATTGATAAAATGTAAGAAGTTAATTATTGTTGTACATATACATTAAGTAACATTTTAAAAAAAATATGTCAGATTAATCCAGAAGTTTCCATCAAGAAGGAAAACCCAAAATATAGAGAAATTGCACAACTTAAGGACCGAATGCATTGTGTGGTATATGTTACTAATGCCGAGAATCCATCAGAACAACTTACCGATCCCAAAACGGAGGAGCAGCTTAGATTTGTCCGGGAAACGATCGCCTCTGACCGTAAGCTTGATAGCTAGTTTTCTTATAATATTTCAAGAGATTACAGAGAAGGTACTACGCTTATTGCTAACCTCTAAAACAAGAGGCCCATGGGCCACATCGCTCACCTGAGCACTTTGGTTAGAGAAAAACAGAAATGACTTCAGCAGTGAAAAGTTCAAGTATATAAGTGGTCCCACCCTCCCCCTCCCCCACACCCATCCGGGATGGGGTGATAATTTGAACAAACTTGTTTCCTATTAATATGACTGACTATGGCTTTGCTGTTTTTGAAAAGTAGATTTTTAAAGATTTCTTTCTATATATTCCCAAATAAAACCTTGCCTAATGTAGTCCAACCCTAACCCCAGCAGGGGTCATGATTTGAACAAAATTGCATCTACACTTCCTGAGGATGCTTCTATATTAATATGACTAATCATGGCTTTGCTGTTATTGAGAGGAAGATTTTTAAAGATATTTGCTAAATGATTTGATCCCCTGTTGTGGCCCCACCCTAAATTTTAACAATCTCAAATGTACACGATCTAATAAAGCTTTCTCATAAGTTTCAACTTTTCTGGACCAACGGTTTTTGAGAAGTGGACTTTTAAAATACATGTATGTCATTATTTTTTTCACTTATTCTTAATTATCTCCCCTTGAAAGGGGCCGTTGCCCTTCATTTGAAAAAAAACCCTTTAATCCCCTTTACTCAAGAATGCTTTGAAGCAGGTTTGCTTGATAGGTCCGGTGGTTCTGGAGAAGAAGATGAAAATGTGAATAGTTTATGTCGACGACAAGGACAGCACGACACGACAAACAACGGACAGATTTTGATCAGGTAAGCTCACCTGAGCCTTCGGCTTAGGTGAGCTTAAAAGGGGGAAAGTTTCTATGAACAAAAAAAATATTTGCGAAGGAGTTCACTTTTCCGGTTTATTTTGATTTTGTAGACATATATTCATTGTTTGGTAAAACATGTTACAAATCGTATGACATGCTGGCAGCCAGTGTTTGACGTTTTTATTTCCGTTTCACAGATATACCACAAATAGTCCTCTTCAGTAAGATTGACAAACTCCGCATTTCCAATAAGGATGATTTGCGGGATGTTTTCAGAAGTCAGGGCGTTAGGGATACCTGCTACAAGGCTGCAGAATACATGCAGATCCCGCTGATGAATGTCCTACCAATGTCGAACTACCACGAGGAAAACTTGCCCACTCTAGAGAAGGATATTCTGGCACTATTTTATTTATTGACCATGATGCAGAGAGCCAACGATTTTGTATCAAACTGTGCTAAAGTAAATGTTCCTAAGGAATTTTATGATTAATTCTGTTTTTAAAAAAAATATCTGCAAAAAAAAGCAAACGTATATTTAAACGCTAAGTATCTCTGTATTTACTTATTTGTCGACTCTTACAAGAATATGTGAATTGGAATTGATTAAAGACCTCACACTTAAACAACGTGCTAATTAAGTTTATCATATACATTGTTACATTCTCTAATGACGTAACAATTTATTTTTTAATTATCTCACTTGAGTTCATCATGTATAATGGTTATATTCATCTTGTAATATGTCACATGAATATATATATATTTTTCAGAAATCATGCTGTATATTTGTTTTTACTTTATTTGACTCAGTTGTTATATTGATAGCATTTCAAACAAGGCTGTAGGAGAATGCATGGTTACTTATCCTGACATTCCTGTCAGGTGTAGTATCTGAAGGCACTATGACAAGGCTGTGGCCACACAAGGGATCAAAAGTGTATATATAGAAATGTTTGGGGAACACTTAAATTCATATTATTCCCAGGAACTATTAAGTCACAAATTGTTACAGAGTTACAAGAAGTCTCATTTATGTTAACATCATACCCTCTCGGGGCGGATCAAAATTTAGTGAATCTGTGTATCATAACAGAGAACTTGACAGAATTGAAAGAATGCCCCCTCTTTCCAAAAAACCTTGGAAAACAAAACGGCTACTTAAAAGAGTTCCTATTGTGGGAAGGTGGAGAATCCGGGTCATTTCCCTCCAGTGTCTGTTCCGCCTAGGTCATTTCCTCCCAGGTCATTTCTCTCCTAGGTCATTTCCCTCTCTTACCCGGGTCATTTCACTCCACAACCTAGGTCATTTCACTCTCAACATAAAAGTTATCGGTTTATCTATGGAAATGGTTTTTAAAAGTAATTTATTTATTTCCAGTTTTAAATTCTATTTGTATTATCAAACTACATGTATTAGTATTCTCATACTAGCCCAAGTTATACTAATACAATTATCATTTGAATAAGTATTAAAATCTGTATACATTTGTGGGTTAATTAATTCTTATTTATTTATTTATTCTTGTTTAATGATTGATCAAATAAAATGTGAACGCAGTAATACGTCTTTTTAAAAGTAACTAGATGAAATACCCCGCAAGCCCGGGGAATTGAATTTCATAACCGCTGACTGATCATTTCAAATATATATCTTAAGTTTCTTCTGACAATTAATTACAGACGTATAGCAGGAAGAAATACGTAGTACAAAATCCCGCAGTTAGTTTAGGAACTAATTTAAAAACTATCAATTTCATTGACGTTTTCTTTTTACGCGCAACTTTATTTTGATACCTGTTCTACTATATCATTACTGTCTTACTTTGGGAACTCTGTTTTCATTTCCATAAGAGGTTAAAGAATTGGATATGCACATATTTTGGGGGGTAAAAAGTCCCCCCCCCCCCACAGTATTTATAATATTTCAAAAGATTGTATGAAAAAAAAACCACTGAAATGTATTGATTAAAGCATACTTTTTAATAGCTTTAGTAAAAATGTGAAAACATAGAATATAACACTTTTTCTTCTTTATGTTAGCAATGATTTATTCATCAATTGACTTTTCTTTTTAGCTAGTTTATTACTATATTTAAAATGTACTTCGTATTCGTTGCAATTATGCTCTTAATGGCGAATATGCACTAGTACTACTATCAAGACTATTAAGACTCCGATCAGATATTCATGAAAAGGATTTGAACATTTTAATTTGTAATAAATAAGCAAAACTTATTCACTCTATATTAGTTAAAACGAATTTTTGATCAAATAATTCATTAATGACGTTTTAACAAATATTTAAACTATTGTTTGTTGTTAGTTTCATGAAAATAAATTAGTATGAAATCTGTTGCAGGCGTTTCGGAGTTTATCTGCAAAATTTATTAGTTTATAGGTAGAGATTTTATAGAATTCAAAGTCTATTTATGTTTTATTCATTTATTTATTTTTGTAGACTTAACAATATCGATTATAAAAAAAATAGAGCAGTACTCGATATATAATCTTTGTTCTCTTTGCTTTATCTACTTTTTATTGCTTTTATCAAGAATATGTAATGTAAAAATGCTAATTTTTAAGTTGTTGTCTATCAAATTTATGACACATTATACGAAGGCAATAAATTGTACATGTATACATGCTGTGAGCATATGTTTATGTGTGAATTTTCAATTGCTTTAATTCATTATCAAGACTGAGAATCCATTGTTATTGATTATCCATTTTGGAAAGGAACATTAAGCAGTTATATTTTAAATGGAAAAAGACATAAAATAGCAAAATTTAAGGAAACTTGCTAAGTTTTGAATTTTAAACATTTCCCGATCAAAATCAAACTGATCCCGACTGGAGTTAAATAAAATGAAAATATTTATTTATTTCACAAATACACTAGATTGCTTTGTTCTAATATCATTTGAAAATTGACTGAATTCAAAAAGTGAATTATCTTTCTGCGATAACTGCATCAATAATTAAATAGGTCTTTGCTTGTGATTGTCTTTTTTTTTTTTTTAATGTTGATTCATTTTTTATCAGAATTGGTGCAAATTTGAAAATAAAGGACTTTTCACAAAGATATATAGATGGCACAGGCCTTTGGATCGCTTAAATCCGACTTTAAAAAATTGGGGTGTATAAAAAAGATATTTTTTTAACACCATATTTTTTTAAGTGATCTAATGGCCTGTGATACATGGAGTACTTTAATATACAAAGCGTTTGATTCATAATCAATGATTTTTTTATTCAAAAATAAAGCATAAAATAGTTCTTGTAGTTTTTTTCAACTCTGTCTTACCTACTTTAACAGTTTATAAGGCGTTCATGTTGTGGACATATCTTCAGTATTGTAACTCGACGTATCTAAACTAAATATATTTCCATAGATCATTAATTCTTCTGGCGATATGCAAATAAAGATATTTTCACAACATTTGACAATTAAATAACCACGGTTTCAAGTATTTATTTATCTTGGGTTGAGTATTAGGATGAAATAATTACAAAAGTTTTTTCTTAGAGGTGAGTTTGGACAAACTGAGTAAATCAATTTTTAAAACTGATAAACCATTTAATAATTGCTTATACAATTTATTTCAGTTTATATATTGTAATCAAGTCTATACATGTAATTCTAGAGGCTACTACGTGAATGTTACATACACTTTTAATATGTGAATATTACATATGTATTTCTATTTTTTTTATTAGCAAACTATTGCGTTTCAGTTTTTTTTCTTTTCTGTGTCTTCATTTCCTAGTTTAAAAAAGTTTTACAAAGTGATAACTTAAACAAAAAATAAGTATTTGTATTTCCATTTTGTTATTACATTAAACCCTTTTCTTACAACAATAATTAGATTATTTACATTTGTGGCAGATCTTGTTTTAAAGCTTGCCGAAATAAACCGATTAAATTAAATTTCTCAAATATATATAATTCTAATTGATAGTGCCGATTTTATTTATTTATGAAAATGTCTTGTAAATCTAAGCGCTAATCTACAAACACACAATTTTATTATATACGGAGCCGGTTAAATGATTATTTTAATAAAATTTATTTACTCTTGATTAAAAATTTTCATTCAAAATATGGTTTTCATGGACGAGAAAGCCCTCTAAATGGCAAAAGTCTGGCAAATGTTCAGTTTTCATCAGTGTTATGAATTTTATTTGAAAAGACATGAATCCAGGAACACAGACGGACATGGAGTGAAATGACCCAGGTAGGAGAGTGAAATGACCTGCCGTGAAATGACCTATCGTGAAATGGTATTGGAGAGAAATAACCTAGGAAAGAAAGGGTTTTAGAGAGAAATGACCTGACACCGAAGGTGGAGGGGTTGACCGTTTTACAAGAGGAGGGGGACGGGCTTTCAATGAAAAATTTCATATTTAAGAAAAAGTAAAAGATTATTCTCATAAAGCCTCCTTTCAGTTCTGTTTTACTGAAATGTGCCGCATATTGTATTAATTATGATGTACATATATCTGCAGTAATTAAATGAAGGCTGGAGAAGTACATGTATCACATTTTCATTAACCTAATCATACGACATGTACAGTGTGGGTGTATCTGAATCGATGAAAAATCTTTGCCAAGGTAATTTGTTGTATAAACAATATCACAAATAAGTTTAGACTCAAGAAATTCGTTTAAGGGGAAGAAGGACCTTGAGCTGAAAAAACACCTGTCATTCAATTTTTTTCATATTTTGTATATTTCTTATTAAGTATGTCCCACATATCTTAAAGCAGTTATATCACTAGGTTTCTTACCTTATTTTAGAGATATTGATTGACAAATGCTATGCCCTACAGTATCTAAGTAGAGTTTTAGTTCTCCATGTTTCCGGGGCCATTACTCTGTCCATAATGGGATTTTTTAAGCAAAAAATAAAAAACATGCAAGTGGACATGTATCTTTTAAAATATTTCATAGTATGAATAGGGTTTAACATTCGAAAAAGCAAGTTTTTTCTATCACACTGCATCTAGATAGCGAAAATTACGTACTTTTTAAGACAACTTTAACAACAAAAAACGTAATTTACCAAAAATTCTATCATTCAATATTTTTAAATTTACGTTGAAATGTAAGTCCTTCAAATTATTGATTAACTGTAAAAATTTCGAATGGTGAAGCTGACCTCAATATTGCACAGGACATCGTTAAAGAGGACATAAGCATGACAAAAACGTGTCATGTTTACATTTCTCGAGTACGGGAAAAACCAACTATGACGTCACACGTAAGCTAAATAAGCGAAATAAGATATACCTAAATAAGATTTCCGTCATCAGCCATGCAAAAAAAATTTTTGTGTTCCCCGTGTCTCAGAATATTTTATCATATACTGATTAAGACCTGTTTTCACAAAAGTAATACAGCCCCAGTATTTACCGAGTATGATCTTGCTGTACTAACAAATCGTGTATGACGTCACCGACTTGTTGGACGCGCAGTTTAGGGAAACAGAGGAGTGGATCAATCTTTTTCATAATTTGTTAATGTTTACAAGAATTTTAAAACTTTTCATTTTTTTAATATAAGGTGGTTATTAAAGTTAAAAAAATGTCAAAAAATTATACAAGAACTGATGCTTTACACGTTTTGCACTTATATAATCGGAGACTATGACGTAGTTAAACAGAGTCATGTGACCATGTGTCCTTCATCCCCTTAAATGCATTCTGAGAGTATTGCATAAGCAATACTAGTACCCTACCAGCAAGTGTAATCTGGTTCTCCTTAAAAATAAAAAGGCTAAAATTCTGTCAAAAACCATTGAAATCTAACAAGATGCTCTTTCTGATCTATAATTCATCAAGGTAGATTCACATACTGGTTTTCCCTTAAAAATTTAAAAGGGGGGGGGGGGTAATTCCATCAAATATCATCAAAGTGGAACAAAATTCGAACTTGATCTGTAACTCATCAAGGTTCATTCACATGCCAAAAATCAGCTCAGTATCTGCAAGCGTTTAGAAAAAAGTGCGGAAAATTAAGTGAGACGGACTGGCAGACAGATATATGGGGAGGGACAGAGAGAATGACTGACTGACAGACAGACAGCTAGACAGACGAGGAGGAACCCTATAGTCCCCTACGGTTTTCATTAATTAATTTACATCTTATCAATCAAATGTTCATACAAGTCTGCAAAATGGCGTATCTAAATAATAAAACCTCTCCAAAACATATTAATGAGAAATTGTAAAGATTAGAACAGGGGTGGATTTTTTCCGGAAGGAGTGGGGGGGGGGGCACATTAACTCTAGTTACAAATGAAATGCCAGGCTCACAAATTTTTTGACAAGCAAAAAAAAAAATAATAATAATAATAAATAAAATAACAATAAAATAAATAAATAAAAAATAAATAAATTGATTAATCAATAATAGGGCCTAATAGTAAAAACTTCACTAAATTTGAAAAAAAAAACTGTTTCCGGAGGGGGTGTCTTAAGTCACATTTTAAGAGGGGTCTGAATTTCCTAGGGGAGATCCAAGGTCACTTTTTCGTTACTTTTTCATAAAAATTCAAATAACTCCCAACCCCACTCCGCCCTTGTTAGAAGGATGGACAATCGGTCTACTAACGTTTTGGGGCTCCATCAGTACTGTTAGTACTTTGATTGCTTGTCCTTCGGAACTCAACATAGCTAGTTCTGTAGTAAAGCATCCAAGGTAAACCGAGTGTTGAATACCACAGAGAAAATTCGATTTCTGTAAACAAAATAGACTGAGCTGGCAGTATTTTAGTAAGTCTTTAAACCATGGCAAGATTTTTTGAAAATGAATTAGTTATCAAGTACTTTAATCTTGTTATTCCACGAGCGCCTGATATTTTATCAAATAAAGCCCTCACTTAAAAAGTCCTTTTATAGCTGTTTAGTTCATGAACATAGCTCTAGATCGAAAATCTACTTCTATATTTGTACAGACAGGTACCTGAAATTTTATCAGTAAGTTGCAGGTAAGCTCCTGAGCTCTAGATCAAAGATCATTAAGTCTGTCAAGAGTTTGCTGACTTTTCCTATTCAATTTTAGTGAGGTGTTTCCACGCATGTTTTTGATGACCATCTTCATTGGTAAATTCGACATTATGTTAGTACATGTATATATGGGAGATAGATTTTTTAATTTTTACAAATTTACTATATTAAAAGGGGGTACATCAATCAGACTCTTTACATCTGTCTGTGTCACATACATTCTGTGTAAGAAGCTTATGTAGAGTGTAATAATATATATACAGGTGTGGATGTAAAAGTCTAATTTTAATTAAATTGGGTGATGGTGGGGGGAGGGGGTATACTATGAATGTTATTATTGTTGTTGTAAAACACACAATTATATATGCAAAATGGAAAGGTGTTAAGAAAAACAATATTTCTACTGAGCTGTTTATGTTAAGATGAATGCAGTATCTGGAAAAAAGAGGAATGTTACATGATTTGATACACTGAAGTGAAAATTCAATATTTTTAGCAAAGTTCACTCTTCTAGAAGACAGGCATATTCATAACATACAAAGGATTTTGCAATTGAACCCTAGCTAAAAGACACTTTTTATTTCCATTTTCAGATCACACTGGTACATAAAAAACAAGAGGAAATGAAGACTTCATGAAATGAATTAAGAATCTAAAATATGAGTGTCTATGTACAACAGTCAAAATCTGGTGAAACAATATAGATTTGCATCAGTACTGAAAAAAATAAAATGGGAATTATAGAATGACCATTCAAACTAGAAACTTGATCAACATACATTAAATTCAGTAAAACATTTCCCAGATTTGAAGACAATCATGGGGGATGTATTTGAAGATAAACGACATTCTGCTGAAAGCCCCCCTGCACAACGTGTGTCTCGCCTGTCAATTCCAAGCACTAAACGAAATGAAGACAAGCTTTTGGAAGAACAAAAATTAAAAGAATCTAAACAGGACAAGTCCAAAAAATCTCATACCAGTAGAGGGCACTTCAGTTTTAGCACAAATAGTCCAACACTTTCAAGTCTAAAACGGCCTTTGAGACATTTTCTTGTAGCTGCCAAACCATTTTCACCAGTAAAGCATTCAAAATTTAAGCTTGACAATAGTTGTAATTCGAACACACCCTTGCAACTTGGAGCTCAGAAATTTCTACAATTGTCAAACAATCTCTTGAAAGATGATCAGTCAGGTGTGGCAGTGCCCAATTCCAAAGAGGTCAAGACCAAGGTTGTTGATTTATCCTTTAATGAGTCCACAGAAACTGGTTCTATGAGTAATGCCTTAAGGATTTCTTCAAAACATGGAACTGACAGGGCAGTAGAGGAAGTGTCTTTAGGGGAACAATACCAGCCACCTGACAATCTTTTGAAAGCTGATCTGTCAGGCATGTCCACTTCTGAAAAGGTTAAGACTGAGGTCTTTGATTTTTCCTTCAAGAGTTCCCTAGAAACCGGGTCCTTGAGTAATGTTTTCTCTGAAAATTCTTTACACCATGGAACTGAAGTGCCAAATTCAGGAGATGTTAAGACAAAAGTCTTTAATTTATCATTAAATGAGTCTCCAGAATTCATTTCCATGTGCAATGACTCAATAGACAGTTCTTCATGGCAGGGAATTGAAGTATCCAACGATGTTAAGACTGAAGTCTTGGATATATCATTAGATGATTTCACAGAAACTGATTCCATGTGTCATGACTCGACTGAGAAATTTTCACAGCAAGGAACTAAACTGTCCAACGAAGTTAAGACCAAGGTCTTTGATATATCTTTTATTGAGTCCTTAGAATCTCATTCCATGTGCAACGACTCAACTAAAAAGTTTTCACAGCAGGGAACTACAGGACCCAATTCTGAGGATGTTAAGACCAAATTCTTTGATTTATCATTTAAAAAACCCCCAGAAACCAATTCCATTTGTGAAAATTATTCACAGCACAGAAGTGAAGGGTCCAGTTCTAAAGATGTTAAGACCAAAGTCTTTGATACATCATTAAATGAGCCCCCCGAAACCAATTCCATGTGTAATGTTGCAACTAAAAATTCTTCGCAACACAAAACTGAGTCGGTAAAAGAGGAAATGACTGTAGTAGAACGACATGTCTCCGTTACCTTCCTACCAGTCCCTCACTCTGAAATGCAGCTTCTTCCTCCCCAGCAAGGAAAGATAAATCATAAAGAAAGAAGTAACGTTGAAGAAAGCAAGGATGATTTATGCTTACGTGAGATTGAGGCTGGTGAACAAGCAAGTCCCAAGAAGAGGCAGCAACTCAGTGGTCCATCCAAAGAGACTAAAGAGGAGCCAGAGTTGGTAAGACTATACATTTGTTTCATTTAAGGAGTAAATCATGTATGCACCTGCTGAAAAATATGTTGTTTATGCATCTCCTACCTATACTATGCAGAGCAGGTAAATATATGTATTATACTTGAATTATTTGGGTCTCATAATTATTGTAGTATTTTAAAGTAGCTAGCATGCATAATGAATGTCAGACAGTGTGTTACTTGAATGTTCGTGTTGTTTACAGCATCTGGTGATGACTTATTTAATAACTGATGTATTATAGGGCTATTGAACTTATAATGGTGAATATTGGCTCGAGTTGGTTGTACAAGCCAATGAGTGCCAATATTCACCAAAATTAATTTAATAACTCCTTTACTATATCATTATAGTTAAACATTTTCAAATTGATTTAAATGTTAATTATTTATATCAAATAACTCAAAATTGATGTGTGAAAATAGACACATCTTAAGACCTAGCTGCCACTACCCAGCATAAATATTGCCATTGAGCAGTTCACCAGAGGACATATTTTTGTTTACAACGGGGCATTCAATATTGAACCCTCACATTCGGAATGATTCGGGACATACTTGTATACACATTGCAAACTAAGCATTCAATAAAACACCAAGATATTGAACGCTAAAATTCTCTAGACTTTTAGTAGTTATTTTATCATAGACTATTTATTAGCTATATAATAATTGTCATTATTGTGTGACTGTCACACTTTCTTAATTTTAGACTTATAGAATGATGTCAGCTCAATTTTTTTCAACATTTGTTCTTGGGTTATTTTAGATGCAAACCTTTACTTTGTTAACATGTACAAGTATCTCATGACCTATACCATTTCTGCCATCTTTATTTCAGGAATTAGAGGAAGACACAGAAAAATCTAATGGAAAAAGACCAGCTTTAGAAGAAGACAGTGCAGAACCCAACAAGAAACATCGACCTCTCAAATGTGAACGCTGTAAACAGTTAATGCTATCCAATAACCTAGAATTGTCTAATGATATTTCTTGTGAGTTTTGTTCGAAAGAGTTTGACTGCTACTGTGCACTGGAATTCCACAAAGTAACCATTCACATAGAGAAGAAACCTCATTGTGCATTATGTTGCAAGGTTATAACGGGCCCGAAATTATCGGAGCATTTACAGAGCCATGGGCTGACATCACAGGACCTAATGATCACATGTGATGATTGTAACATCTATGGTTATAAGTGGTCCAACAGAACCTTCTTTAAGAAAAATACTTTCTGTACACACCTGCAAGGGAAGGATACTCTTTATAACAATGTATTAATAAAATGTCCTAAATGTCCAGCAGAGTTTGATAGGCTGGAGTTTTTTGAAAGTCATCGAGAAAAAATGCACTAACTTTCAACATGATTTATCGTACTGTAAACAGGGTTTTTTTTTTCACCCTTTCACACTAATGTCTTGCAAACAATTTGTCCCATTTTAAATTTGCCCAGTCACAGTTCTGTTTTGAAAAATTATACCATTTTCTTTGAATTTGCCCCGTTTTAAATTCACCCACCTGTGAGTAGGGAGAAATGGGCGAAAATAGGACGGTGGCAAAAATTTCCCTGTTTACAGTATGAATCAGCAAATTTTAAAATTTCTGTCAAAGATACTGGATTTAAGCTACTGAAATCTCTAAACTCCAAGTGAACTTAAAGAAAAACATTTACTATTTTTTTGGTGTCATTTATTGTGATTGTGATGGATTGAAATACAGCTGAAATTGTACACAGCAGAAATGATTTGTTACATATACATACAGTTTTTATAGAGACAGTATATGCTTATTGTAGCAAACACATTCATTATAAATTCATAAATACAGTGAGGTGATTGTCCTCCCCCATTGCTTTAAAATAGTAAAGTAGACAGGACAAATATATCGAATTAAGTTATCAATGAAGCCAAATTGTCCGTCTTTAGCAGTGTTTGAAATAACCGTGTGCCCAACCGCCCAAGATGCACAAATTTAGCAGAGGGTGAACAAATTTGCATGGTTTGATGTTCGACTGGACCTGTTAAAATTTTCGATAATTAAAATTCATATATTTGTCAATGATAAATCTCTTTCACATCAACTAATAGTATCGGTAGCAAAGTGTAACAAGCCAAGAGGAAGAATTCATCAGTCTATAGATTCTAGCTGGTTTGAAAGTATGGTGACCTGGTTCCAGTCACATAATCGTTAAAAACAAATTTATAAATTACACACATTTTCTCGGTCGAGTAGATCTTTGGCAGGGCTGACAACTTTTACTAGCAGTCAGCCCTGCATGTCTGGCTAATTTTGCAGTGAGTTTCAAACACTGTCTCTAGCACTTCTGTGTAAGTGTGTTTTACTGTTATGTATCAGGTTTAATGACAGCAGCTAGGCAATTGCATGAATAGTTTTTCATGTTAATTTTTGACTGGCTAAAAAGTTGCAGGGAATATATGATATATCATGTCTTTAATATATGTAAATTGTACTAAGGTAATCTATCATAATGTTGTGAGCATCAAATAAAAACATAACTATGTCTAATCTTTCTTTCAGTCTCATTTCTTGTTGTACAGGTCAAAGGTCAAAATCATATTCTGTAAGTTTATGTTAAACATGTTTGATAATCCTTAATATGATGTTTGCATAACTGTACCCTATTGTTCTAATTATATTTCTTGGTGGTAAGCCAAAAATAAAGAGACCATGATTTATATTTCTAGTTGGTAAGCCAAAAAATAAAGAGACCATGATTTATCTTAACAAATGTTGAGGTCAAATTCACTTACAAGTAGAATGTGTGTTGGCCAGGCAGGTTTGATTGCCAGTGGCCAGTTAGCTCAGTTAAAAATTTGGTAGGACACCTAACTGGAGATTCAGGGGGCTTGGGTTCAAATCCTGGTCTGATCCATTGTATTTTTCACCAGTTACATTTGACACCTTGACCAGGATGTGACAAGAGAAAGACCTGCAGCGCAGGGAGGAGCCTAATGGTAAACTGGTTAATGTCTTAGGGAGTCTGGGACAAAGGCATTTATGGAGTGGGGAATGTGGTTGTCAGGCAGTTTCTCCCAAGACAAGTCGCCCCCAACACTATTAAAGACAGCTCGCCCCCAATTTAGGACAACTCGCCCCCACTCAAGACAGCTCGACCCCATTATAGAGACAACTCGCCCCCATTATTTTTTCTTGTGAATTGCAAGGGGAAAAAATAACTGTTATTCAATTATGTTTATTTTATACATGTTATATGCAAATTTAAATTATAATCAATATTTAGGATTGTAATGGATAGTTTTTTTTTTTTATGCATTTACATCATATTTTTGTATAAAAACACAATGTGTGCATAAAAGATATATCATAAGATCCATGCTTTCTTAAATTTTATTCTTATGAAATAGTGTGAATAAATGCATTTTGATTTATCATTTTTTAAATTTATATTTATAAAATACGTCTATTTTAAAAGAGCACGTTGTCCTCAGTGTTAAAACATCTGAACTATTTAATGACGAAATTAACGTTTAAACAGACGGCTTTAAGAAACTATGATAATGAGTATTACTAATTAAATGAAGACATCAGACAAAAATTTTTAATGACAACCCCAAGCTAACAATTAATTTGGATACTTCAAAGTGACGACTAATTAGAACATGCAAGCACTGAAAATTGCATATATTTAGTTGTTTAAAAAAATTGGTGTGCTGTATCCAAGCTCCAAAGCAGCTTCAACGTGATGAAGAATTAAAGCATGCTAGCTCTGAAAATTACATATATTCAATCAGTTTTATTTGTGATGAAAATGTAAAGAAATGTGTGAATTTAGTGAAGATATATCAAAAAAGTGTCAGTACCGACAATAGATATTAGTGTTAAATAACTTAAATTATTTGTGTTGTGTTTTATTTTCAATAAAATTGAGAAATTTTATTTTCAGTTGTTTGTTTTAACTTTCTAGGAACATTTTTAAATACAAATATCTATATAATATATTTACTATTTGTTGGTTTCTTAAACTGGGGGCGAGTTGTCTTAAATGGGGGCGAGCTGTCCTGAATGGGGGCGAGTTGTCCTGAATGGGGGCGAGTTGTCTTCGGGGCGACATGTCTTGGGGGCGAGTTGTCCAGCATCCCATTTGACTATATTGATTCAAGGGGCCTGAGTTCAAATCATTATCTGATCTGTGGCATTTTTCTCCCTTGCCAGTTTAAATGCTATTGGGATACTTAAAATGTCTGTTAACATGAGCACAGCCGTATTTACTATACTGTATACTGGCTAATGCTCATCAAATAAAACATTCCAGTGAAATTTGCAATTCCAGAGCATAATCTGTCTCACAATTTTAGAAATAAAAAAGAAATAAAAGAGACAGGTTTTGAACTATAGTAATGCAGGGACAAATATATATACATTGTACAAATTAATATATAAATGTCATTTTTATCTAAGTTGCCGTGATAAAATTTTCATAAATACTATGGTAGCACAGAATGACCGGTAAGGATTTGCTAGGGGGCGAATATGTCGTTTTCAGTTTATTTACCCTCGGGTTCGTTATTCGAGTAATACATCGATGGTCAAAGCCAAGAGAACTTATCGGAGATGTTTTGCATATATATATAACTTATAAGGAGGTAGATTACTTTGTAGTAAGTAGCATTTAACACAAGACTTAATATTTCCAATAGTATTGTGAAATAGGGACATATATATATATACCTGTCTGCAGGTGCACAAATATGTCTTTGACAGCTAGAGGGCAGGTGCTTGCCATCATAGATTTGCACACAGCTTAGCTGCTTTGTACCCCAAGATGACTACTTGGTACTTCAGGTGGTATAGGAAAGATCTGAACGTATGGTTATATTTTCTTTAACTCTGATCTCATTTTCAGAAGTTTATTGGAAAAACAATATTAAATTCTTTCAGGTACATATCATATGATTATGAAACCAAAACATAGAACTTTACACTTAACACCAATAATGTATGTATTGTACCTTGATCAGGTTGATGTTTGGTTCAAAATGTTTAAAATATGCGTAAATAATTTAATGCAACCAGTGTTTTCAATAAGATTTTCAATAGAAGGAAATATATATGGAACAGCAGGAAACCAATCTCGGCGATGGGTCTCAGGCCCCCAGCAGGTCCAGGGCAGAGCCCGGGGGGGGGGGGGGGGGGGGGGGGGGGGGCAAAGCCCCCCGGCCGAAAACGAAAATTGGCATTTTTGACTCATTTTTCTTACCTCTCAGGCCAATAAATTTTTCACATTTCTGTCACTATATACCAAATTTTACCTATTAAAGACATTAAGAAAACAATTTGTACCTAGCTTTCACTGATTTGTTATATGGACTTTTAACAGACTGACATACAATTGTTTGTGCTAGAATTTCATTTCATACTGAAAATGCTGCATAATTAGTCCCTTTCACATTAACCAGTCAGGAAAATTATTCAAAATTAAGGTGATAATTTATTTAAAAATTAAAAAACTTTTTAACACGTAGTGACGTACAAAAACCCCCAAAAATGAAATATTCTGCATTCTGTAATCTGCAGACTAAAATATCATAAATCTTTAAATTTATTTACTATTTTGTACAGATTGTCAGAACGAAATAATTAAGAAAATGGATACAAATACAAATTACTAGTACATAAAAACCTTCTTGTGAAAAGTTAAACTGTTCTTGTACTTCAAGAGAGCTAGCACAAATAAACGAGAATACAAATTTACATTTTCAATTTGAGGAAATTCTGTAAGAATTCCTTTGTCCCACGTCTCAGTCACGATTAAAAAAATGACTTTTATTTGTAAGGTCTTACAATTTTATCGGTCTAGATATATTAAATATTTGCTGTTGTAATAATCTTGACCTAGCTTGTGAAGTGACAGTGAATGTTAAAAAAAAAAAAACATATTTTCCTGTTCGACATTTTAGGCCGTAGATACCTGACGCTTGCGTCAATGAAGCCCCAAATTCCCAATAATCTTGATCATATCTTGTATAGCTAAAGTTAAATCCCGATCGTTGAGTTGTGAATTTTATATGAGGTTGGAATTATTCGTTAAAAATTTATTCTTCAAACGTTACTCTCGCAAATTGTAGCCTTGAACTGCCTTGTTCAGTAGTTGTAGTACGTATTGGATCAAATCAAACTTCAATTAAAAAGAGCGCACTCAAGGGAAGTTACTCTAGAAATGTAGATAGTCGCGATAAAATCTACGGATTTCGCGTACCAACCCCCGAAAAATCCCAATTACAGAAATTTCATAGCCGGCAAAATTTCTCGTACAGGCGGTTAATTTTGCCGGTTGCTGGCTCTTATTGAAAACACTGGCAACAACTTCTGATCACAGCAAATGCTTGGATTTTAATGATTTTAATGAATATATTTTTTATAGAAGATCAACTTGCTTAGAGCGGAAAAATATATGGCAAGAAATTGGTACTGTGTTTTGAGGTCATACTTTTGTACCCTAGGGTACATCCCCTATTTATCCTTTAACAATAAGGTTACAAAAAGGTTATAGTAGAAAACCATTGAAAAATGAAAGTAGAAATTAAATTTCTGAAGGACTGTTAAGGTGACCTGGTTACAATGGGCACAGAGGGTACAATGGTTACTCTCCCTGGAATAAATTACAGGCAAACGAGACCACAGAATTTATTTAATGATTTGATAGAATGGGCAACAAATTGGAGAGGAAATTCTTCAAATAGACCTTATTTAAAGGTGCTTGGACACAGATTTGAAGTTAATATTTTCTCAAATTTTTGGTATAATATCATGACTTATATGTTTTATAGCATTTCACATGGAAATAAAATAAAAAAAATTATTTTATCTGGAAATTATTGAAACTACAAATTTTGAGACACATTTGATTGACACATCTATGCACTTTCACAAAGTAAACTTCATCCCTAATACATAAGAAAAGTAGAAATTTTGTTGTGCAATAATGAAAAATATTAAACTGTAATCCAGAAAAATAAAGAGTAGAAATGTGAGAAAGCAAAACCAGCTCACCAGTATTGTCAGTCCATGCTCAGTGATATGTGCAGATCGAGTTTACCAAATTGAACACACCCGTGAAACGTACGTAAACTGTTTTTGTAAACAGGGCACGAGCTCTGTTATTGTTAATGTTTACGTTTCACCGGGTGTGTTCAATTTGTAAAACTCAGCACACATCACTGAGCACAGACTGACAATACTGGTGAGCTGGTTTTGCTTTCTTACATTTCTAGAATAATCTGGATTTTAGTTTGAATATATTTCATTAATACACAACAAAAATTTTACTTTTCTTAAGTATTAAGGATAAAGTTTGCTTTAAGAAAGTGCTAGGATGTATCAATCAAACGTGTCCCGTAATTTGTAGTTTCAATAATTTCCAGATAAGATAATTTTTTATTTTATTTCCATTTGTAATGCTATAGCAACATATAAGTCATGATATTATACCGAAAACTTGAGAAAATATTAACTTCAAATCTGTGTCCAAACACCTTTAATGTAGC